GAAAAAAGAAATAAAGCGACGCCTGACGGGAACGAGTACCTACATATGTATGTATATACATATGTATGTTTGAATGCACGTATGTATATATACATATATATGTATGTATGAACGAACTCATTGCGCATTTCAGCTCTGCCGCTACCAAGCAATATATGTACATATAAATGATGCAAGCGTGCTTCGCGTAACTACATCCATTCGTACATATGCACATATGTTTGTATGGATATATTTATGCTGAAGCAAACGGGCTTCGTTGATGTACTGATGGGCATATGTATGTACTTATGGCCAGCAATGTTTTCATGTATGTACACATGTTTGAATGGTTGTATATACATTTGTATGTATGTATATATGTACAAATTATGTGTTTGTTGTACATTTGTGCATGTAATTTTCTAGAGTAGTTTTGTGCTCTTGCTATCTCCTTGTATTAACTCGTCCTTCGTTGGTATACTCTGATGAATATATGTGAGGATGATAGCAAGGCCAACTTATATAACTGGCTAACCTAATATTCACGCACGCCGCCAATTTACTGTCAAAAATTTCTCATGCACATACAACTTGTATGGGACCAACCGAAATTGAACGGCGTGCGTATGAAGCTAACTCAATTTCCAATTTTTGTTCTGCGTGACATTTTGATTTGACGTTTCGCTCAATGAAATCAAATGCAAACGCACGCAAGCCAATTTCGGGTGACGCAAAAAAACAAATTCGACGGCGTGCGTACCAAAACGCAAGCCGCGAATATTAGGTTAGCCTGTAAGGTAGTATTACAGGAGCAGTTGAAATTTTCGCCCGACGTTTCTTAAAGAAAGCCATAAACGTAGCGACCGTTGGTTCAACTTGGTGTTGTTTTGCTCTAGATTGCACCGTTTGTGGGCCTGTTGAATAAATTTATGTCTTGGTTGTATGAAAGATCAAAAAAATTGGATTTTCTGGTAAGTTGTACAACTTATCGCTACATTAATGGCCATGTTGAACAAACTCATTTAATTTGCGTTTATTTTGTACACTAAATAACCGAAAATGGATAACTCAGCCGAAATAGGTACGTGCTTTCGTTGAATTTTATAAATGTAAGCCGAAACTATGATATTGTAAAAATGAGATTTTACAATGAGACTGCTCGCAAAATTGCAATGTTTGTGGGAAAAACGTCCAACTTGATTGCGGATTGATTTGAACCAACGTTTTCGGCTTGCATTATGTCAAAAGGATGTGTTTATTGTAATTCATTCTGTCATTTACTACCATTATGCGTAGGCCAATTCATGAAATCATTTCATGCGTTTGAGTAGAAACTGCATGAATGAACACCATTTCATGATTTCAATTAACGCGAAATAGAGTTTATGCACTTAGTTTTTACTCAGATCGATGAAATGATTTCGTGAATTGGACTACGCATACATGTGATACTTATGCTTTTAATTTATAAGATAATTTTATGTTTTTATACTCTTGCTACCACATGAATATATGAATTCGTGATAAGAATATATGAATTCGCCTTGGAAGATAGAAAGCGAGTAAGAATAAAGCCCAAAATACAATAACGCTGTGGCAGTGGCCGTGGCAGTTTTTCGAAATCAGCTGTTTTTTAGAAAGTGTGGTGTCCAATGAAGCGACTCACAATGCAGCAGTGGCAGCGGGCAGTACTGCTCAGTTTAGCCCAAATTCTAAATTCACTGCCACTGCTTTCATCGCAGCAAACTTCGCATGCTGAATTTGACATAAATAACATGCAGCCAACTTCTGCTCATGTCACTGAAGCCTAAAAGACAACAACAAAAATGTAAACAAACAAAAGGTAATGTCAAAAAAAGCTGCCACTGACAGCGCCGTATTGTATTTGCTGCGGCCGTGACTGCCAATATTAGCAGTAACAGCTGATTTTATAAACTGTCACTGCCACTGCCACTGCGCTATTGTATTTTGGCCTTAAATGCCGAACAAAGGAATTTGTCTTCTTTCAACTTAAATAAATGCATTTTGCAAACAAAAGTGCGTACGTTACTTAGTGCCTTGGTAATGGCGAATTCGTAAGGATCTATTGATTGCATTATAAACATTTTCATTTATTTGTTAAACATACAATTACTTCCATTACAATCCGGTCCTATGGATGTTAGAAGCGCGAATTCATATAAGGTGGTGTTACCTGAAAATGAATAATAAATGATATGTATATCACAAAATTAATAAGATGAAATGAAATTATTGTTTGATTTCTAACCAAACCTATGTATGTAACTCAATCGCCTAATGGTTTGCCGAACCGTAAACATATGTTTACACATCCAATTTCGTGAGTAGGTACCTGGTACTCACACCTTTTTTAAGAAGTTTCACTTCTATCATGTGTACGGTGTTACACACGCATTTTTTTTACAGGTCTATTCTGTGCTGGTAATAAAAAGTTCGTAACCGGTAAATAAAGTTCCTGGCATTCTATGTACTCTTGTAACCGGTAAATTTTGTTACCATCTCGTAAGCTGGTAACAAAGTATTGCTCCGTGAGATATGCATGTCCAGAATTTGTACAATTCTTNGCAGCAGTGGCAGCGGGCAGTACTGCTCAGTTTAGCCCAAATTCTAAATTCACTGCCACTGCTTTCATCGCAGCAAACTTCGCATGCTGAATTTGACATAAATAACATGCAGCCAACTTCTGCTCATGTCACTGAAGCCTAAAAGACAACAACAAAAATGTAAACAAACAAAAGGTAATGTCAAAAAAAGCTGCCACTGACAGCGCCGTATTGTATTTGCTGCGGCCGTGACTGCCAATATTAGCAGTAACAGCTGATTTTATAAACTGTCACTGCCACTGCCACTGCGCTATTGTATTTTGGCCTTAAATGCCGAACAAAGGAATTTGTCTTCTTTCAACTTAAATAAATGCATTTTGCAAACAAAAGTGCGTACGTTACTTAGTGCCTTGGTAATGGCGAATTCGTAAGGATCTATTGATTGCATTATAAACATTTTCATTTATTTGTTAAACATACAATTACTTCCATTACAATCCGGTCCTATGGATGTTAGAAGCGCGAATTCATATAAGGTGGTGTTACCTGAAAATGAATAATAAATGATATGTATATCACAAAATTAATAAGATGAAATGAAATTATTGTTTGATTTCTAACCAAATCTATGTATGTAACTCAATCGCCTAATGGTTTGCCGAACCGTAAACATATGTTTACACATCCAATTTCGTGAGTAGGTACCTGGTACTCACACCTTTTTTAAGAAGTTTCACTTCTATCATGTGTACGGTGTTACACACGCATTTTTTTTATAGGTCTATTCTGTGCTGGTAATAAAAAGTTCGTAACCGGTAAATAAAGTTCCTGGCATTCTATGTACTCTTGTAACCGGTAAATTTTGTTACCATCTCGTAAGCTGGTAACAAAGTATTGCTCCGTGAGATATGCATGTCCAGAATTTGTACAATTCTTCATAGCTGAATTGCTGAATATTTTAACTGCATTACCAACGTACCTAGAATCGCGGTGACAAGAACTGGTATCATTTTTTGGTAATAAAATTTTCCGGTTACAAAAACTTCGTGCAGAATAGACCTGTTACCGGAAAATAAAGTTTCTCTCTTTATTAAACCCTTTTCGCATTCTGTGAACTTTTGTAACCGGAAAATTTCGTTTCCATCTCATAAGCAGGTAACAAAATATTGCCCCATGAAATATGCAGCAACAGAATTTCTACAAAACTTCATAGCTGAAATGCTGAATAAATTAAAACGTAACCAAGGTACCTAGAATCTCGGTTACAAGAAGTGGTAACAATGTTTGGTACCAAAATTTGCTGGTTACAAAATATTCCGTAACAAGCAGAATAGAGCTACAAGATGTTCATGTTAAGTGCAGCCTACTGTAAGCATACATGTATATGTACGTGTGTATGCGCGTAAATATGTCAGGACGTGGCATTTCGCAGGAATTTCAGAACTTTTCAAGATAAATATGGCGGAGGACGTGGGAAAGACGGAGACAACTTATATTTCACATTTATGCGTTTGTTTTGGCGGAGAATGTGAGAAAGACGGAGACAACTTATATTTCACATTTACGCGTTGTTTTTTTTTGCATGAATATAAGAACAAAAAATTGGAAAATATTTATTCTTGCCCGATGAAAACAAAACGTATTCCTACTCATGTATGAATGCGTAGATTTAAATTAACCTTATGCCATCCCTATATAATAAACATTGGTTTTGCTAATAAAGCCGCCATATACACACTTTATCCACCAAATCGCCCGACACATAACTTCTTTTACACACTTTAAATATGTCAATTTCCAGATGAAAACAACACATAAGTACACTCATATATAAATGCATAGATTTCTTATTAAACTAATGCATTTTTACATAAAAGTACACTGGTTTTGTTTATAATGATCGCTTTTATCCACAGACGTCAACAATCGGCACTTGTTGACAAACAATTCAATTACAACCACTTTTTATTTATGGATACTTTCACAAACTACCACCTTCGTATTTTACACATGCACTGAATATCATATATAGGGCGTGTGTGAATCGGTAACAAAGTTCCATGGGGAAAGCTGTTGAATAATATTTTTACTATGGAGACAGTTTTCCCAATCTGCTGTGTGAAATGAAATCTTTTTTGTCAGCGATAAATTTTTGATAACCGCAGAAATTAATATTTTAAGAAAGCATCTACCATCGTTGATTTCAATTTATCAATTTAAGCTTTTATTTAACGAAAAATTACACACATTAACAATATTTGCGATTGTCAAAATTTTCTATACATTAGTCAAATATTTCACTAGTGTAATGTTCCCTACCCACTTGTAAACTAATTATTTATTTAAGTTTATATGTATCACCCAGTAGTTGTCATTTGTAGATATAAGATACACTAAACACTCTGTACCGAAAGAAGGAGCCATTTTATCTTTCTTCTTCCGGTAACAGCTAAAACGAGGAGACGTGCCAGAAAAATAGTAAGAAATAAATCGAAGTATATAAAAAGACATCTTTGCAATTTTAAAGACTGCGTTATAGCCTCAGGTGTGGGGTGCTACCCGCCAATATTTAAACATTTTATTTATTAAATAAACCTTCTAACAAGGGAAAATTTCAACAAATGCCGTCGACACGTTCCGCAGGGAAAATGACTGGAGGTAAAGATGAATTAAAGCAAAGCAGTGAAGGTGGCCCACCTATTACATCAAACACTGAGTCGCATACAATGAAATCAGCCAATGCACATAAGGCTATTGAAGACAGCTCCAATATCGTGCCTGCTCCTGCATCCCCTGGTGCTCCTGCCGTCATTTTATCTGCTGCCCTGACACCTGGAGTACCTGGTGCCTCCGCCGCCAACCAACCTGCTGTACCTCGTGCCTCCGCCGCCAAATTACCTGGTGCCCCCGCCGCCAACTTATCTGCTGTTCCTGCTGCCACGTCACATGATTTGCCTGCTGTTCCTGCCGCTGCCGAACCTTATGTGGCAGCTCCTGCTACCAATGTTCCTAATGTTCCAGTTTCTGCCGTCTCTGATGGGACCGCGTTTGATGGTCCCTCTGCTGTTATATCTAATACCGCTGTAAACCATGTTGCCGGGAATGGCACCACAGAATTTTCCTCATGCGAGTCTGTCGCCCAATCCGCTTTCTCCGTATTGAGTTGCACCGTTGGTTCCGATACCGCCACTGAATTAGGCACCGCAACTCCGATTGGAGATATCAATAAGCTAGAAGAGCAGTTGAAAATTTTAAGACTACGTCGCGAATTGATGGAGCTGCAAGGTCAAGTTCAACAAATAGAAACTTATCCGGGCGTGCGCCTAGGTAAATATATACATTTTGACGAACTCGATGCGGCAGTTCCAAAGTTTAGTGGCGACAACCATTACGACATAAATCGGTGGTTTTTGCAATTCGAGGACTATGCTGATGCCAATAATTACAATGAAAGACATAGGTGTCTAGCACTACGACGATGCATGTCTGGGACAGCAAAAGAATTTGTACTTAACCAAGGACTTGTTGATTATTCAACGTTGAAGTCGTTGCTATGTGCAATGTTTCGACGCAATTGTTCGCGGCAGGAGGTTTACCGGCAGCTACGATCACGCAAACTAAAATCGTCAGAGTCTTGTGTTAGTTACATTGTGGCAATGCAGTCCATTGCCGCCCAGTCGGAAATACCAGAGCAGGAGCTAGTTGATATAGTAATAGATGGCATACCTGACAACAGTAACAACATAAGTATCCTGTATGGCGCTAATACAGTGAGTGAATTAGTAAGGCGAATGGAACGCTACGAACAGCGTCGCCAGAATATTGCATTGCGTAAACCGTCGGCCACTGTTGTTTCACGCACGGAAGCAAAGTCGACCGTCACCGAAGATCTCTCAACAGTGCGCTGCTTCAACTGTTCGCGATTCGGTCACTATCAGAGCAGCTGTCCAAAGCCACAACGACCAGTAGGTTCCTGCTTCATCTGTCACCAGCTCGGACACATGCATCGGAATTGCCCGAAGAAGAAGAGCCAACCCACTCATGTTGCAGCTATTTCCGCGGAGGACTATAATTACTTAGAAACTAGGCAAGAGGTAAGTGTGGCCTTTTATGAACAAAATCGAAACAGATGGTCAGGTTTTATAAATATTATTTCTCTTTTTGATTCTGGTAGTTTGATTAATATAATGCAAAAATCCGTTGCTGAAAGATTTTTAAAACTGTCGCCTACTGCGATACCTACAAAATTTGTTGGCATTGGTAAAAGCAGAATCTACTCATTTGG